GAGGGGGGACCCAGTCTATATGTGGGATCCGAACCCTCGGCAGGAGCACCACCACACTCCCAAGCGGCGCACTGTAGCAGTGCGCCACTGGGCCGGCCCTCTGCTGGGTTTTTTTAATTTTAGCCATTTTAGTGGATGATCAGTAGTATCTCGCAGTGGTGGTAATTTGCTTCCCTAATGAATGACCAATAAATAATACATTCATTTGCTTATTTGGTAACTGTTTGTCTCCTCTGGTAAAGTGGATGTTTAAATCTTTTGCCCATTTTTATAAGATTTTTTGTCCTTTTATTATTATGTTGTAAAAGTTCTTTATATATCCCAATACCAGTCCTTTATATGCTCTGTAAATAGTTTTTCCTAGTGTTGCTTTCCTATTCATTTTCTTTTCTTTTTTTTTTTTGTTGGCTGGCTGTTATGGGGATCCTCCTACTTCATTTTCTTTTCTTTTTTTTTTTTTTCCTTTTTGTCTTTTTTCGTGACCGGCAACGGATCGCAACCCTCAGTGTCACGCCCGTAGCCGGACCGGGACCGGCAACGGGATCGCAACCCTCGGTGTTGCAACCACACCTCGCTCAGCCAGTGAGCAGCCGGTCTGTATGTGGGATCTGAACCCTCGGCGGGAGCACAGCTGCACTCCCAAGTGGCGCACTGTAGCAGTGCGCCACCGGGCCGGCCCCCCTACTTCATTTTCTTAACAGTGTCTTATGATGAGAATTTAAATTTTTGATGAAGCTTAATTTTTTTCTTTTATAATTATGGCTTTCTGTCTCCTAAAAACCTTTATGTATTGTCAAGTCAGAAGATACAAGGGTACTTCAAAAAGTTCATGGAAAAATAGAACTGAAAGATAATATGAACCTTCCCATCAACTTTTTGAAGTGCCCTTGTATACTTCTATATTTTCCTCCAAAGCTTTATGGTTTAAACGTTTATATTCTGGCCGATGACCCATTTAATTTTTGTATCAGGTATGAGGTAAAGGTCAGGGTTCTTTGCTTTTTGAAATTTTCTTTTGGTATATGCATATCTACTTGTTCTACCACCATTTCTGAAAAACTATCTTTTTCCCCATTAAATTACTTTGGCATCTCTATCAAAAATTAATTGATCATACACATGTGGGTCTACTTCTGCATTCTTTATTCTTTTGATCTATATGTTGATCTATGTAGAAAGTATTAAGGAACCTACAGGGAAGCTAGTAGAACTAATAAATAAGTTTAAGCAAATTCACAAGATACATGGACAATATTTTAAAAATTGTATTTATATATGCTAGCAACATACAATAGAAATTGAAATGTAAAAATACAATTTACAATAGCATCCAAAAAAAGATACTTAAAAATAAATCTAATATGTGCAAGAGCAATCAAACTCCCAACAGACTTTTTAATAGAAACTAATAAGCTGATTCGAGAATTTACGTAGAAATGCAAAAGATATAGAACACTAAAGTAATTCTGAGAAAGAAGAACAAAGTTGGAGAATTACTCTACCTGATTGTTACTATAAGCAACAATTACCAAGGCTGTGTGGTATTGGTATAAGGCTGGTCATTTAGATTTTGAGTAAACAAGAATTATCATAATTAACAAAGAGAGCAGTAATTTTAATAGTAAAGGTTTAAAATGGTGGAGGCGGGAGTTTAACTTTTGAACTATTTCTTTAAATTTCTGTAGTCTTTGGAGTGCATGCAGACCTTATAATCTGGTACTTAATTACATAAAATGCACTATTTACTAAATTTTTCTGTTTCATCTTCTTAACTAGACTGTAAGTTCCTTGAAGTCAGGAATCACAGATAATTTTTTGGTAACTTCATTGCAGCTGTATGGCATTTAAAAATGTTGCTGAACATACTAAAACATCATAAAACTGCAATAAATATGTTCCTCCCAAAATCCAATCTCATAAAAATGTAGAGTCATCTTATTTCTGAGAAATGACTAAGGTGAACCTGTGCTGTTATCCAGCCATAAATTCCAGGGGTACAGCAGTAGTTATGAACCAAATACCCTGATCCTGGCTTCAGTCTGCAGTCTGATGGCAACTGGCTATACCAGCTTAAATATCAATCAACATGAATGCTTCCTGATGCTGTGGTTGACTGATACTTCCACAACAGTGGCAGCAATTCTGGGAAATCCCTGTTAGCAGATGCCCATTTCATCAGACCAAACCAGGAAGACTGCAGAGGAAATACAGAGAACTGAGGGATCCACCCTCATACACACACACACCCCCCACTGCGTTTAAGAACCAGTGTTAGGTAGAAGAAAGAGTATGCATTATATCTGAATTTTCATCATCATGAAGTTTTACTAGGCATTTGATGAAGTAATAAATAAGTAAATGGCAGTGGTCCAAAATTGTTAAAAAATTATTGAACTGTTTTTCCTACCTTAAATATCAATCAACATCAATGCTTCCTGATGCTGTGGTTGACTGATACTTCCACAACAGTGGCAGCAATTCTGGGAAATCCCTGTTAGCAGATGCCCATTTCATCAGACCAAACCAGGAAGACCGCAGAGGAAATACAGAGAACTGAGGGATCCACCCTCATACACACACACACACCCCACTGCGTTTAAGAACCAGTGTTAGGTAGAAGAAAGAGTATGCATTATATCTGAATTTTCATCATCATGAAGTTTTACTAGGCATTTGATGAAGTAATAAATAAGTAAATGGCAGTGGTCCAAAATTGTTAAAAAATTATTGAACTGTTTTTCCTACCTGATGTACCAACAGTTCAGCCACTTCTACATGATTATTAAGGGCAGCCAGATGCAAGGCAGTATAACCATCATCTTTCTTCTCATCCACAATCCATGGTCTTGGTAATTTAGATAGTAAAACACGCATTGCACTGAAAGTCAAATTCACATTATTTTTATATTTACATAATTGGATATTTAATTTTTAAATTATTTTCTTTAGAAAAATATATTCAAAAGAAAGTCACATTATTTTTATATTTACATAATTGGATATTTAATTTTTAAATTATTTTCTTTTTGAAATCAAATGAAAATATTCCTTTTCAAAGAAAATCATGCCCTTCGTGACGAATAGATTCAAGTTTTCTAACTTTCAAATACTTTGAGAGGTAAACAAACAATCACTATTTGAGAAACAGAATCAGAAAGGAAGTGTTACAAAGAGTAAACACTATAAGAGGAGGAAAAAATCAAATAGGAAAGAAATATATTCTGATGAGGACACAATTTTGACTGTGAAATCTCTTAGGTTCAATAACAATACCTATTAATGAAAGAGTTAATAAAGAACGGCCAGGTAACAACAACAATGAAATGGGAAAAATAGTGACAATTAAGACACTATGTACGTAATACACACATAGCTGGCAGATTATAATGAACTGCAGAGTTAAAATTTGATATATGTCATTAAGTAGTGCTAAATCCAGTTTAGATCAAAATACACAAAATGGCAATTATAATTTAATATTTAAAATTTAAGAATTGGTAACAAAACGTTTCCAAAGCAAAGACAAAGTTATCCTAAAGAGCATTGAAGATTTAAAAGTCCAAGTATAAAAAAACAGAACTCATTATCAATAAATAAATGTTTCTCCCCATATTAGCTAGCCACTAAAAAAGAAAAAAAGAAAAAAAAAAGACATAAACATTTCTTCAAGAAGAAGTTAGCACACCCCCCAAAAAAGAAAAGTGAAATTAGAAGCAACCTTTCTTACAATACACCAGTAACTTTTTTTTTCCACCAGTGACTCTTCATAACAGAAAGATTTCATGTGAAAAACTCATAATGTAATTTGAAAAAAAAAAACTCCCTTAATATATTTATCCACTAATTTTTATTTTTTTTTTAAGACTGAGACCTAAGATAACTGCTCATGTAAAGAGTGCTGGACTTGCATGTACAGAATTGATATATATGTATGTTAGAACACTAAACACTGATATATACAAGGGTACTTCAAAGAGTTTATGGAAAAATTGAATTAAAAGATAATATCAATCCTTCCATGAACTTTTTAAAGAATGCTCATATATTAAAATTCTTTAATTTACACTCAAAAGAAAAACTTTAAAAATTGTGCCAATGGGGTGTATAAAAGGGCAAGAAATAATAAAGATACATATTGGGATAGTTTTTCCTAAAGTGATATATATGAGATAAAAATTTGAAAAAGTGAAATGTTATTTATGTATGGAGAAACAGGGTGAAGATGTAGAATGAGAATGCGTAGAAATAAAACTGTAAGCCTTTAAAATAACAAGATGAAGGCCTGAAATGACTCAATTTCTTTCTTTAATGCCAGTGTCTATGAATCCCACACAGAAAGGTGAAGAAAGATGTCTAAGAATATGCCTTGGGTGATCCAAGAATCTCCAGCATTGTACTCAAATTTGGAAGTTTATAGCTTTCATCAGATTTTTAAACAGATTTATGACCCAGAGTATACTGAGAACCACAGCTTAAAGACCCCCACTTCAGTGGTTGTTACTGAGTTACATTTATTGTCTGGGGATGACAGAGTCCTTTGGAAATCTGTGGAAAGCTATAGATTCTCTTCCAGAAAAATGCATGTCAAAACATTTAGCTAAATTTTGAGTGAGTTTAGGAACCCCCAAATCCCATTCATGGACTAAGACTAGGGTTTCCAGCTTTAGTTTGTTTTCAGTCATTATTAAGGATTCTAATCCTCTTCACTCAGTGGATTAAAATAAAATCCTAGGTATTATGTAGATTTTGACTCAGATCTTTAGTGGAGAAGAGTGTTGGGACCACATTATATTACTGAATGTTTGTATAATCATGATGTTAATACCACACATCATCTACTACCCTACACACCTGACTGCGCAAGAAACTGAATTCACAGGGGTTTTAAGTTCTTTTGGAAGGTATAGAAGATACAAGTAATAAATCATGTGAAGAAAAGTTTTATTAAAAACAAAAAGTAATTATTAAAAATAATGACATAAGCCTGGCTGGGTAGCTCAGTTGCATAGAGTGTAGTGCTGATAACACCAAGGTCCAGGGTTTGATCCCTGTACTGGCCAGCTGCCAAAAATAAATAAATACCTAATAATAATAATAATGCTAACACTTGTTACTGATTTAAACAAAAACTGTGATATAACTGTGCTGAGAAGAATGGTAGTGATAGAAGGTGTTAACAGTTTTAAATCTTCACTTTCCATAACATAAAATCACTGGTTAATGTTTACCACTGATAAATTAAGAAATTTTGAGACAAACTACAAGTTATTGATGGTGGGGACAAAGGGGTAAAGAGGATGAAGAAGACAGTTACCTTTCATGATAAGCTTTATAGCAGTATATGATTTAACTATATATATTAGTTTGATTAAAAACATTTTTTAAAATCAAAATGTTAATATTTGGGCTTATTACATTAAAATATTTTAAATTTGTGCCCTTATTCCTTTTAGCAAAAATATACAACTGTTACAGTAAGTTTTAAATTATAAAGTGTGGTTCATGCTAACTTCACGTTTTTTTTTTTCCCAAAGTCACATTGCTGAATAGATATTCCTGAGGAGCTGGTTTGTAGAATCATGTTTCCCACTGTCCTCCACTCTGGTTTCAGAGTACATTCCCATACTACTTTAGTCTATAGCCTATCTGCTCTCACCTTACTTTGTGTCTTTTTGCTTTTTCCTCTCAGAAGAATACATAAAACTGAACTGTCAGAACAAGGGAAAGAGTAATTCCAGACTATAGATGGAGTTGAAAAATCATCCCAGTCTCTTCGATATTACATTCTATAAAGTAAACTAAATCCTAACATTAAAACGAAAAGTTCAGATGTTCAGGGAGCAAATTTTCCTTTCAGAACAAACCTATTCTGTTAATTAATCCCACTTACATAAATGTTGTAAATTATACTATAAAATACAATAATTAAAATATCATCTGGCTGGCCAGTTAGCTCACTTGGTTACAGCATGGTGCTGATAACACCAAGCAAGGTCCAGGGTTTGATTCTTGTACCAGCCAGCCACAAAAAAAGGGGGGGGGGGAGATAAAATACCATCTTTGTTCCTCTCACAATACCGAGAAGATAAAAAATATACCATAAAAATAAAAATTGAAATGTGGCATTAATTCAAATGCCTCATTTTAAACTGATTAAATAAATTATTACAACACTAGCAAGGTATTTTTAAAAGAAATGGTAATTTCTGATTTCCCATAGTATCAGTATTATATTGGCAAATGAACATCATTTATCAGAACATCATTACATGGAAAATGATCACAGATTAATGACACTGTTCATTAAGATCATCCAACTGTCTTGTTTGCCTCTCAACTTCCATTTTTAAGTTAGCTTTTCATAGATTTGTTTTTGCCCTCAGCAGGAGAAGAAATCTATCAATCAGCCATCATGAGTACTGTAATCCATTTAGCAGTAATATGTCTTTCTGTAAATAGTAATCTGCCATGCTGATTTATACATCAATCTCTTACAAATTCATCCCAATCCCAATTACTTTACACCTCTAAAGGTGAGGCCCAAACCCCGGCCCTGTGAAGCCCTATCACTTTCACCCATAATATCTCTAGCTTGTACCTCTAATTCCGGTAGCCATAATTCATATCTGATACCAAAATTTCTACATAAATATTTTATAAATACCACAAGGTAATAAATACACAAGGTTGCTGTAAGAATTAAATGAGATAATGAAGGTAAAAACAGCTTTAGTACAGAGTCTGCAACTCTTTAATATGAAGGGGTCTTCAAAAAGTTCATGGAAAGTGCATATTGTGAAAAAACAGCATGGATTCCAAAAACGTTGTGCACCAATAAGCTCCTACTAACTTGTTACAACATGTCTGAACAGAATCTAGTTTGAGGCACTAAGAAGGATAAGACATCAGTTTGAAAAGAACAGTGACAGAACATCCACATCAACTTGTGAGGAAAAGATTAATCTTGTTCACACCCTAATTGAAAAGGGCCAGTGATTAACAGCAGGAAAAAAGAGCCAATACCACAGACATCTCAATTGGTTCAGCTTACACATTCTGACTGAAAAATTACAGTTGAGCAAACTTTCCACTTGATGGGTGCCAAAATTATTGCACCCAGATCAGCTGCAAACAACAGCAGAGCTTTCACTGGAAATTTTAAACAAGTGGGACCAAGACCCTGAAACATTTCTTTGAAAAACTGTAATAGGAGATGAAACATGGCTTTACCAGTACGATCCTGAAGCACAGTCAACGCCATGACTACCAAGTGGTAGAAGTGGTCCAGTCAAAGCAAAATAGACCAGTCAAGGTCACTGGCAACAGTTTTGAGGGATACTCAAGGTATTTTGCTTGTTAACTTTCTGGAGGATCAAAGAATGATAACATCTGCTTATTATGAGAGTGTCTGGAGAAAGCCAAAGCTTTAGCGGAAAAACACCTGGGAAAGTTTCACCAGAGAGTCCTTTCCACCATGACAATGCTCCCATTCATTCCTCTCATCAAGCAAGGACTATTTTGTGAGAGTTTCAAGGGGAAATCATTAGGCATCCACCTTATGGTCCTGATTTGACTCCTTCTGACTTCTTTTTGTTCCCTAATCTCAAAAAATCTTTAAAGGGCACGCATTTTTCTTCCATTAATCATGTAAAAAGATTGCGCTGACGATTAAATTCCCAGGACCCTTGGTTATTTAGGGATGGACTAAAAGGCTGGTATCATCTCCTACAATCACGTCTTGAACTTAATAGAGCTTATCTTGAGAAATAAAGTTTATATTTTTTAATCTATATCTTTTAATTCCATTTTTCCCATGAACTTTTTGAAGTCTCCCCATAGTATTATAACAACTCAAAGATTACAGACCTATAAATCTAC